GAGAGAGAGAGAGAGAGAGAGAGAGAGAGAGAGAGAGAGAGAGAGAGAGAGAGAGAGAGAGAGAGAGAGAGAGACATAAGGCACAATGTCACATTCATCCTTTTTTTCCATTCATTTCTTTTTTAACCAACAGTTTCACATTAAAAAAAAAAGGCGAAGGCACAGACAAAGATCCAAAAAGTATATAAAAATAAAGGGGTGGAGGCGCACGCAAGGCTTCACACAACAAGAGCAAACTTTAGCTCGGAAACGAAGTAATAACGAGTTGTTAGCGCCCTATTTCTCAGAAATAAAAATTAAAAGCAGACACGCTTCATATTATTACTATTGCCAATCAATCATTACTAAATCCAATAAATGTGCGCCTCTCCAACAATTCGTTGACATAGGGCCTCGCTGCACTACTCTCCTAATGAGCAACATGAGACTGAATCTACCGCTAGAACATGGAAAGATACCTTGCCATCTTTTTTGTCTTTTTGTGCAGGTGGAGAGTAGTGCAGCGAGGCCCATATGCAAATTTAGCCACAAGGATACATATATATTGTCACATGATATCAGATATATATCACCATTGGCCATCCATCTTCGTTATCGACAGAGAGTATCTCGCCTCCTTCGACAGAGAGTATCTTCGTTATCGACAGAGAGTATCTCGCGATCCACGCAACTGGGACCTCACCCCTGGTCCAGCAACAAGGCAAGTTCTTACGAACTTGCTCACCTCTCTTTCCTATTGAAGAAAAGGGGGTGTTTTCAATTGCTTAACACATTCCCGACCGAGACCGTATGTATGTATGTTCGCGAAGAATAACGCAACTTGTCCACAACGAGCAAAGTCGCAACAAAAAGAAGTCCGGTACAACTAAGTACAGGTCACTTCTACCTGCAAAAACTCAGTGAAACATCAACAACAAAATCCCGTGCACTACGCTCGCCGTTTTAAAAGAAAGCAAAAAAAAGAAGAGAAAATCCGGTGCACTAAGTACACGTCACTACTAGCTACAAAAAACCTTACTCAGAAGACTCCAACAAACCCGCCAAGCCCACCCCGCCTACACATGGTCAGACTCTCCCCTCCTTTTCCTCCTCCTCCTCTTCCTCCTCTTCCTCCTTTTCCTACTCCTCCTCCTCCTCTTCCCCCTCTTCCTCCCCCTCTTCCTCCTCCCTCCCTCGATGATCAGCCCCACCTACATGGTCAGACTCTCCCCTCCTTTTCCTTCGTCACGACCACCGAAAATAACCGCTGCAACCAGGGGCAGCGTCAGGCCCTTGCCGATCCATAGTGAAAACCCAAAAAAAGAAAAGTCTCTCTGTGGTAAGCGCGTCAGGTTCGGCGCTTCCCTCCCTCGTCTTCTAAAACCTGCAAATCGTCGCCAAAGCCAGCAATTCCAAATAATTGTGCTCTTATCGATCCATAATTGAGCTCTAACGGAAATAGTAACCGCCCTTCTGTCTAGTCATTGAAATCAGCGCCATCTTCATCATCCTCGCCCTGGCCAAGCCAAGCCAGCAATTGCAAAGGCCATTAGAAACCACAAAAACCCACCTACCTACCCTCTGCTTTCACAAAAGATGTCCTGGTGTCCATGTAAATTAGGGACAAACGCTACGTTATTGGTCGTTATTGCAAACCGATTTGCGCAATTTTGCGTCTGTATGCCTGTGGGATATCACACAAGCAAAGGGCCTCGCTGCACTACTCTCGAAATGTGCAAAGCGAGAATGAATCTTCGGCTCGAATATGGAAAGATGCATGGCCATGATTTTGTCTTTTGTGCATGTCGAGAGTAGTGCAGCGAGCCCCAAAATTGGGCAAATCGGTTCTCGCTTAGTATAACCGAAACGCGGCGCAAATTTTCCCGATTCCCAGCGAAAGAAGGGGTCAAATACTACCGTCTCCCCCCCAACACAACGCACCCTCACTTTGACTGTATCGGGTCGGAAACAAGCCCTTGCATACGTTCATCTTCAGGGTGCGTTAAGGGGTCAAATACTACCGTCTTCCCCCGAACACAACGCACCCTCATTTTGACTGTATCGGGCCGGAAACAAGCCCTTGCAAACGTTCATCTTCAGGGTGCGTTATGTTTGGGGGAAGACGGTAGGCAATCTCTGTGATAGGTAATCGCAATACAGTCACTAGTCCACATCACTATCCCCTGAGCAGATTGCGATTACAAGCGGCCCCCCCCTGGGGCCCCCTCGCTCTCCCCCTCCCGCCCCCCGCCTTTCGATCGAGCGAAACGAATCCCGCGAAAACTCTATCAGAGAGAATCAACGGACGAATTCAGAGGCATCAATCAATCACAGGCACAATTGCCGCCTTAACAATCGCCAGGAGAAGATGATCGCCGAGAGAGAACGAGGGAGAGCAGGAGTATAGAGAAATTACAGAATGGAAGAGAGAGAGAGAGAGAGAGAGAGAGAGAGAGAGAGAGAGAGAGAGAGAGAGAGAGAGGGAAGAGGAGGGGCGTCAACAAGGAGACACGACAGTCGGGTCCGAAGTAGCCCGCCAGACAGGCAAACCAAGAAAAAAGAACACCAGAGGATATTGCGAAGACGAGGAAAGGACAAACGGCGGGAGTGAGTCACATCATAGACGAGCGAAAACATGCACAGAACAAAAAAAAAAAGAGTCCATTTAATGATCCAAAAGAATCGCAGCGAAGAAGGCGCCAACGTGGGCACACAGCGAGCGAGCGAGCGAGAGAGAGAGAGAGAGAGAGAGAGAGAGAGAGAGAGAGGATAGAAGACGATTGTGAACACAAACCGGCAGCGTTAGCAGAGGGAGAAGGCGCCAACGTGGGCACAGAGAGAGAGAGAGTCGAAAAGGAATTAATGAAGAGAGAAAGCCGACACACGAAAAGGCTCGTCCACGTGCACGCGGGCGCGCATACACGTATACGCACCACACGACAAGCACACAAGGAATTGGCCATGGCAAATGGGGGAGAGATCGATCCGTAGAAAAGAAGATAAGGTAGGTGCCTAACAGCTTCACTCAAAGCGCCTTATAACTTTCTTTGTCTACCCTGTTCCTTCTCCTCCGCCTCCAGGTTCCCGCTTCGAGTCCCAGCCACTCCAACAAAACCCAAAAAAAGCGAAAACAGCTATATACCCCCCCCTCCCCCCTTCGGCCACTTACTTGATGAGCGGAAATCTCGCCCCACCCCAATCCCTTTGGGCTCTCGCTCCTTCAGCCCCCACTGGCCAACCCCGCCTGGTCAGCACTGCACGTGCCCTCAGAGGAAGGCGACATGGACGAACCGAAAGCGCAGAAGAAAGAGGGTAAAGAGAGATGGGGAGAAGACGACAGGGTGAGAGAGGAAAGACGGCGAAGACAGGGGGAGAAGGGCAGGACCGAGCGCCGCGCACAAGTCGGGCGGAAGAGAGCAGACAGCGGGGAGCAGAGAGAGAAACAGGGGAGAGAAGAGAAGAAGACAGAAGGGAGGCGGGGGAGCGGGCGCAAGAGTAGGGAGACACTAGGAGGCGGAGGGAGAGAGAGAGAGAGAGAGAGAGAGGGAAACAAAAGGAGAATATGAGACGAAAGGGTGCTGCGAGGAGGGAGAGGAGAGCGAGGAGGACAGATCGGGCAGAAGGAGAGACTGCGGACGAGAGAAAAAAAGAACAGGCGAAGGGACAGAGGAAGAAAACCATTCACTGTAAACAACGCGAGGAAAGAAGAAGACAAATGGGGTGATGAGAGGGAGAGAGGAAGAGAGGGAGAGAGGGGAGAGAGGGAGAGAGGGAGAGAGAGAGGGAGGGAGGG